ATTTCATAAGATTTCCTGCCCTGCGACCAAAACGGTACAAACATTTCATCACTTTCTTTTACAGTTTATTTATGAAACTGAGTGCAATATGACAGAAAAAAGAAGAGAGAAGAAGGGGTCGTAGGTTAATACTCGTACATACCCTGTAGATTTTTTTAATTCGCTTAGCGGGGGGTGGATTGCAACTGGGTCCACTCGGCACGGCGGCCACTGATTGGCCTATTGTAGCCTGCCCCGGGTGATTATGATGGAGAGTTTATTGGAATGAAGATTGGCAGGGGAAACCGAAGTACTCGGAGAAAACCCACCCTAGCGCCACTTTGTCCACCACAAATCCCACTTGACCAGACCCGGGATCGAACCCTGGCTACCGCGGTGGGAAGCCAATGACTAACCGCTTGAACTAGGGCGCGGCTTACTGTGCAGACTTACAATACTTTCCGGCAACAAACAAAATGAACTTCGCAAATAAATTACTCATAGATCACCAAATATCTATAACAGAGCAGCTCCTGACGGATTAAATAAATGTTAAAATTTAAGTGTTTAAATCAGGAGCCGGGATAGCGGCTGGCTACGGGCTGGACGACTGAGGAGTCGGAGTTCGAGTTGCAGCGGGGCAAGATTCTTCACTTCTCCATGTCTCCATGCCACCCTATCTTCTATACCAAGGGTCTCCAAACTACGGCCCGCGAAAGAATTGTGCAGAAATGCGCCAATTGAACTAATTTTCCAATGAGTACTGGTAAAAAAAATACTTGTTCATAGATTTAAAATTCATTAATTAAGATTGTGTTAAAATATATTGATATTCCATATTATGTTAATATTAATATTTTTCACAATTTTACTAATTCTGGACCGTATACTGCGCGGTATTTCTTCATACTTATTCGGCCTCGATTGGCAGTGTCACTTCGTGGCAATGTAGGTAGCGCGAGCAGAATTTCCTTCCTCGTTTGCAAATTTAGTCATTTCAGATTTGAAAGAACAAATTGCTGATTTGGATGTATGTGCTCAGGAAATTAGATTGTTTCAAAATCTGTTTGACTGTGATGCTGCAGATATATCAAGTCAAATTCAAATGGAAATTACTGAACTTCAGGAAAATTATCATATTAAAGAAAAATTCAAGGAAGGAAATTTGATCAAATTTTATAAATTTCTGAACTCTTAGCAATTTCTAATTTTAAAGAAATTTGCTTGTAAATTTATCCCCATTTTTGGGACGACATATCTGTGTGAACAAGCTTTTTCCCAGATGAAGTACATCAAGTCGAAATACAGGGCAAATTTATCCGATGAACATTTAAAGTCGCTACTTGTGATTAGCTTTTCAAAATTTGAACCTCAATTTAATCAGATTTTAAGAATGCAAAAAGAGTTCCATCATTCACATTAATTGTTTTATTATAATTTGTGATGAAAATATGAGCATTTGCTGCTACTGTCTGTTGTCATTAATATAATTTATTCTCATGTACTTTGTATTTAGTTTATGAAATTCTGTGCTTTCAATAAAACTCATATACCTAGAGTTTTTAAATTCTCATTTTGTCCGGCCCGTTGAAAGTGCTGAATTACCTAATGTGGACCGCGTTTCGAAAAGTTTGAAGACCCCTGTCCTATACAATGGGTATCGGAGGGGCTTCTTCCTCGGGAGTAAAGTGGCCGGGGTGTGAAGCTGACCACTCACCTCCTACTAGTGCCGAGGTCAAGAAAATGTGGATCTATACATCCACTCTCCCACACGCCTCCATGGTGTAGTTCTTAATTAGTTAACTTTGTTTAATTAGTTTAAAATTAAATAATTTGAGCAGTTGTGCTGATTATATGCAGACCTACAGACAGGAAGTAACTGGAGGCTAGAAAAAATCACGTAATTATGACCATCAGCACAGGTTCTCTTCACCAAACATTAATAACGAGACCAACTCAATGAGGATGAGATGGGCAGGATGTTCAGCATGCATAAGAGAGATTAGAAACGCATACAAAATTTCAGGCAAAATTCCTGAAAGGGGAGACCAATTGGGAAACCTGGATTTAGGTGGGGAGAAAACATTTTAAAGTTGATCTTACAGAAGTGCCGTTAGTGTTTGTGGAGATGTGGACTAAATGTTACGTCCTATGGATTGCCTCTATGAATATGGTAATGAATTTACGTAGTCCATAAAAGGCGAGGCATTTTTTTACTCGCTGGGCGACTCTTATCTCCCCAATAAATCTTCACATGTAGCTAATCTGAATTAAAATGAAATGTATAATTCCTATTTGTATGGGGAAGTAAAGTAAAAAAAAAAAGTAAAGCTATCCCTGTAACAGGCCGTGAAGGCCCATAGGGTTGCGAGACGTTGAGGGTCCCACATTATCTAGAAAATCGGCTCAAAGATGGCGGTAAGGTTGTCAGCCTTACGCGCCGGCCGCGCTTTATTCCCCAGAAAAATTATTTAATTAATTCCTGGTACTCATTTGTTAGATGCTGAGCAAATTAAAAAATATATACTGTCTTCGTTCGCTCGGAAGCCGGAATCATGGGTTCGAATCCCACACAAGACATGGATGTTTGGCATGTGTTTCCTTGTGTTTAGGTAGGCGCCTTGTGACGAGCTGGTGACTAGTCCAGGAAGTCCTACAGTCTGTAAAATGATCACGGAACTGAATAACAGAGACCAGGGCCCAAGGGGGCTCTAGAGCCAGCTAAACAAATATTTCACAGTTGGAAGCAAAGTAAATTACTACAATGAAATTAAAATTGTTCGGCTCTAAACTGCAATGTTCTTGCACAGAATGTGTGTGCGTAAATAGAGAAAGATTTTTTACAGTGACACAAATCTCACCAAGGCTTATTAATAATTATATTGATATAGTTAATTAAAATGTATTCATATTTTGACATGACAGCTGAAATCGGAACAGTGGAGGGAGAAAAGTCGTCCATTGCTAGATAACGGTGGGTAAACACACGTTTCCACAACTAGGAATCAACACACAACAATAAAACTCCATGCAGTCCCTGCTGAGGTTATATAACTAGGCCGCTAGATGAATCAGAGACAGTAACCTGTGTGGAGGCGGGTATGAATACCTCCACCATAGGTGACGAAAAGAGAACGCAGTGCCTGGAGGTATAACTAGGCCACCTTGTTCCTGGGAGAGTCTCGAGTCTGAGGCAGTAAAATATTGTCAAGTTTGGCAGGACTTGGACCTGAGAATGACTGCGCTGGCGAGCACCAGCACCAATTGTAAACTATGGACCCTTCCTCTCGTCAGACAGGATGTTACATAAGGACTATAACCGCCATGGTTCAGTTAAAAAATACTGATCATGGGTCTCAGGGGTCTTGGCACCAAGATGAACCGATTGGCGGTAAACCGCCAGTCTTGAAGTAACTCTCCCTCTGCCAGAGACAGTCATAGTCAGTGAGTGACCAGTTGAGGACCAATTGTGATATGTTGCATTCTGTACTCTTAGTGACTTACTGACATACAGCCTACAACAGTGCAGCTATTAGTAATAATATTTTTAGTCATATGAGATATGAGGGTCTAACAACACTGACCATGAAGATTACTGTCTTCTGGGATGAGGCACAATTTTTGAGTAAAATCTGTAAACTTATACCAGACTACATGGTGTCACACTGCACAAAAAACCTTCATATTTGTAATCTCTATTAGTGATTTAAAATTTGCAAAAGGCTGGAAGCTGCATTTATAAGCAAATTTCAAAGTTCAATCTCTATCTAAAATATACAGAGTTATAATTATACCCATATTTTGTACGAGTGAAAACCAGTCTTTCACATTAAGGAAACATATTGTCACGTATTTTACAGTCATAACCACTGCTGATGAATCCAATATGATCCAAATACTACTTCTGATGCCAAAATGTCACGTGTTGCGTGATGAACGGGTGATTGGATTTATTGGCGCTTCGTTTACAAGTTCTCTTAATTACACTCAATTATAATGCTATCGCTATTCTACATGCTTTCAGTTCACCACTGCATACCCAATAGGATTCTCCATCGTCATTAGTCATCTCCTGGCAACGGATCTCAACACGGAAAATAGTACTTCAAATCACTGTGAAGCATTCTTGTTATTTCGTCTTCAATCACTCTGTACTCCTCTGTCCTAATCTGTACTCTACTTATCTTCAAAATTCACTAAGGATATGTTCCATTCTTGTCCTTGCACTCTCAACTGCACTGCACTGCACTGCACCGCACTTGTAAAGTCTTCAAATCACCCATTCCATCTTCACAGGCTGACTTCAACTCTCCAAGTCTAATTCTGTCAACTGCATTGTAGCACCGAAGGTCTTCAAGGTAACTCCTTTGCATGGACCACGCACAGAAAACATGTCACATGTTTGCTATCTCGCCAGTCCATTGGCACATTGGCTGCCGACTACAGAAAACATATGTCACGTGACAGCTACCCACTGTTATGGTGATATCATTGCACCTGCACGGAAATGTGTTTATGGAGCCATTGCCTGGCGATGTGTTGATCAAATCTGTTACAATATCATGAGTGTGTCTGAGAAGAATATTTGGACCAGAGTGGAAGTTATAGGAAAAATGAAAGAAAGTGCTGAATGGGGAAATCCATAATTTACACACTTCCCTATTTATCAGTGTGATCAAACAGGATGATTTGTTGGGCAGGTCATGTAGTAAGCATGGAAGATATAATAAATGCACAATTTGTTGGAATATACGAAAATGGGAGAGGATTTGAGAAACCTAAGTGAAATCACAGGATAACATTAAGAAGGATCTTAATAAAACATGAATTCATCTGGGTTAGAACCAAGTGTGAGACTCTGTAGACATGTAATGAATTTTTGGGTTCCATAAGAGGCAGAACTTCTTGATGAGCTGCAACTATTAAGATTATCAGTGACAACTCTATTCCACTGATTTACATTTAGCACGTGTGTGCTGACGCTTTCTAAATATTAACTATAAAATAAGAAAAACGCCAACTGAAGACACCAACAATGGTCATTTTACTTTATTTTTTTCTCTTTTTCCCAGACTGTTAACAAGACTTGTTTTCTTTGAATATACTACAGCTTCAGCAACATTTCATTCCATTTCCTTCAAATGTATATTGACTGGTAACTAATATAGAATCATTATTCTTTATGATATTTAGTAATAATGTTATATATATATATATATATATATGTATATGTATATACATTTTGTACACAATTTGAGTCCTCTCATTTAAACAGCAACACGCATACAAGAATAGCTATAGGTCACACTCAATATTCAACATCAGTACAAGTCTATGCTCTCTAGTAATAGTTATAATGGAGATGACAACATCTGCACTCCACTGCATTTATATACTAAACTATACTATATGGTCGCAGTAGTTTGGTTGTTGTTCAGCACAAATAGCACAGCCTGGTGATAGGTCACACGATTGGTGATGCCACTGAACTTCCAAACCAAAACATCAAATTTAACCATGTCAAAAACTATTTCTCGAGCTGTTATATATTTAGGATTGCAGTCACTGCATCTGATGACTAACAACGGGGTCTACACATTACACAACATTACTTTCTGTCAGCAATCTATAACCTCTATATAACTTTAAATTAACCATTATGCTTTGAGGAAAATCAGGAAGGTTTCAAAAATATTTAATGACTTCCGTATCTTAACATTTTCTGTGCTATGAAGATGATATCTTACTCAAATTCCTACTACTACTTATCTGAACAGCTTTGTATTTCAATAGCAAGTGAAAACAGGCTTTACAGACTCCCTCCAAATTTAGGTACATGGATTGATTCAGACTTTGCTATAAGCATCATATTTCATTTTATATGTCCTTTCATTAAAGTACTGTGGGCACAGTCATTTATACTACTTCAACATACTGTAATAAATACAATATCTTCACAATTTTCAGAAAATCTCACACCTATTTCCAACTCTCTTATCAGTACTCAATTTTCTTCCATTCTCTGACATAAACTGTGGCTTTCAGATGGAAATGTTTTGGTTTGGAAGAACATACTATTTGGCTTCAGCTCTGTAACAGCAAGTGACTTGATATACATCTGGTTCCTAGGGATGTTTATGTATGGAAATATACAAAGCTAAATATTTAATTTCACATTGTGTTATTAAATAGCAGTGAGCCCAACACACTTCACCATTCTAATAGCAAAATACTTGGTGGCTGGAATGTTTTCCAAGAGCAAATTGTGACAAAAACTGTAATTAACTGAACCAGTAGTGCCTCATGCCTTACCTTTATCAACTGTTCAAGGCTCACAGCAGTCAGCATAGACATACCACATATCACAGGCACAAATGTTCCCAGAGAACATTCCAACAAGAAATGTCCAAAACATAGTGTAACAGAACTCACAACCTAGACATCGGCTTCTTGCAGGCAAAATTTAATTTTTGTTCTGTTTGCACTTTATTTCACTTTCACTTCCACCTTTATTTCATTTTATTATATATTTATATAACAAGAGGCAACAGGTTTGAAGGTTTGGTAAATGTAATATTATATGATAAGGAGCAAATAGTACTCATCAAAGTTTTCTGACACTTTTTTTAAGATCTCAAGATATCCAGCAGATTTCGAACATTAAAAGTCCTTTTTATTATTATTTATAACAATATTCATGAAACTTGAAAAGCATTCTTTTATCTGCTGAGTTCAGTCTGTAAACTAATTGACATCAGGTTGAGGGCATTCAATTCTTTCAAACATTACGCATCAATGTTTAACTTGACATTAAAGCCCTTATTCATCATTAAGACTTTAAAACTACAGGAAAGATTTGCATCTTTTTTTTTATTTTATATATCAAAATCACAGAATAATACTTTTCGAAATGATTCATATTAAAAGGCCTGTTTTTATCCTATAATTGAGATGCTTATAAATGCGCACACAAGAGGTTTAGATATTCTGTTTCACAGAAGGAACTGCAGGAGGTTAAACTACTGCTTGCAGGTAGATGAAGAGAGGGACTACAGGACAGGGAAAACTGACTAGTCACCAGACGAATTCATGGCAATGATACGGAAATCAGATGTTGCACTACAGGTGATGCAGTATTTTGACACATTGGTCCACATAATATGTATTTCGCATTACCAAAAAAATGTTTAACCCCTGCTGCATTATGGGCCAAAACGCAATCTGTATTTTCTGTGAACCAATGCAAAGACACTGTCCATCTTTCCTGACAATATCACAACTTTACGAGTAAGTCACACTGTGAAGGAATCCAACACTGGCCTACCAAAATTCATGAGTATTACTAAGATTATAGTTGTTCATTAAAAATGCAATATTTTGAAACTCTGTTAATCCAGATCAGTTAATTCTGTGTGGTGGAGAAGCTTGACCTTCAACCAGTTGTACACAGCAACATAATTTTCATTTCTCCAAGTGATGTAACAATACTGTTCAGCTAAAGCATGTGACTTTTCAATTTAACAGCAATGACTCATTAACATTTAATGTTTTAATACGAATTATGCAAATCACCATCTGTTAATAACTTAACATAAAGCTGGACAAGCCAAAGGTTTCACCTACAACTTGATTGCTTTCATATGCACTTTAGTTTTGTAAGCCAACTAACTGTGGAATGTACACAATTGTTCATTAACAGTAAAACAGCCATGAATTATATATACATAATATGACATTCCTTCTTCTCACAAAATAAGTGAGGTTCAAGCAACACAGAAAATATTACCTGCAAAATGCTTTAATCACCCCTAAGAAGGTTTCCACATGTTCGTCACTTTTCCTATACAAGTGATCACTTCAAAGAAAATGTTGGTTTCTGATTTTCAGGGCAATCAAACGAGGCCCTGACCAATTTGAACAAGAAACATACACTAACCAACCAAATTAAACACGAAAACATGGTAAAGTGCTGAAGTAAATAACAAAGTGAAAAAATAACCGTAATACAAATATTATACAAACGTATGAAATAAACACAGTACAATTACTAAAATATTTTTGAAAGACAATTTATATGATACAGGACTGCTATATAAACATAAAGACAGGGGAAATACAAAACTTTATAATATAAAATCAACACCATTTAACTCAGATTACTGTTAAACTAAAAGGACTGCAGGAATAAGTAACAGAAATAAATAACAAAACTGATTCTGATGAATTTTTGTGTGTGAGCTAGTTTGAGCACATGTTGATATTGTGACAGTAGCATTCTATAATATCAGGTAGAGTAGCAACAAAAGTCATCATATGCTAGCTCCAACACATTTAAAACACCATCTAATAATTTTTGTTTCCATACAAACATGTGAAATATGATGACCACATTAAATCTGGCAAGCGGCAGATGACGGCTGTGAAGAAACAAAGGAGGTAACCACTAGAGATGACTCATAACAGGATGTTATAATTTTCATTGTCCTCATTTCTTATCACACAATTCAGAAAAATCTTCATTACACTTAAGATATTTTATTTAAAATTTTACTAATGGACAAAAATAACAACGGTGGTGGTTGAAATGGTTGTGGTAGTAGCAGGAATAGAATGAACAAACAAACAAACACAAAACCAAATTAGTAAACAGGCTTCTTGTTAAAAACTCTTACATCATATCAAATGTTTGAGGTACTGCTCACCAATGGCATCATTATGGAACACTGTTTAAACATGAATCTCTATAGTCTACCTTAACTATTCTATCCCTTCTAAGCCTTTCAAAGATGCCACAGTAATAATGAAACAGCAAACCTGCACATGGACTCTGCAACAGCCCATTATATGATGAACAAAATAAATACATGGTATGGAAGGAGTGCTGCTCTAAATTACACAAACAGTTGTCAACTAATGGTACTGGTGTAACACTTGAAATACAGTTTACATAAATATTCTCTCTCCCATCCTAAGTCAACTCTGTGATTATAGAGTGCTGAAGTAAAACAAATGCTTACTCTATACAATACAACCAAATACACTCTCTCAATTCTATTACCACTAATTACATACTCACAGTAACAGCGAAACATTTTGGGGATTAAAGGTTTTTTTTCTACTTTCGTTTGATTACACCTTCTTTCCTCCGCAGGTCTAGTGACATAATTCATATCCTGTCATTCTACTGTCATGTACTTCATTCTGATATAGCAGCCCTCACGAACCCCAATAACAAAAATGTGTTTTTATACAATCAGCACAAATTAAGGTTCCTTAAAACTTTTTGTATTTGAAAATTTCCTCAAACATGCATAATGTTGTCTTTGCTGTTACTCATTACTAATCTGTCATGGTCCAGCATTACAGTTCACAGCAGTAAGTGTGCATGGTAGCTCTGCACTACTGCTTACAATTATAAAAATAAATTACCCAAGTGACAGTCACCCTCAGGGTCTGATAGAAACCAGTTAATGAAGTGAACAGCACAACAGAATATAATACATCTTCAGTCACAAAACCCTGCAGAAAGTATTCGTTGTTTGGTACAAAACATTACCAATCCATATAGAACTTCCTCACATCTGTATGTCTGTCTTGGTGCAAAGAACTTCTCACCAGTGTACAGGCCCACGACTAGTTTAAAATTTTCCCTCCAAGAAAGAGAAAGAGATTGGCCACTCTTCGTTACCACTATCAATTAAGATACTTAAACTCAAACCTTTCCTGCAGACTCTTCATTGTACAAATATCAAACATCACAAAAAAACAGCTTTTTATCTGCCCACATCCTGTCTTCATTCACCACACTCAACATATCCTTTGAATCCATTTTATGCCTTTGACATGCAATCCACAGCACCACTATTTCCTTGCTTAGTTAGTTAAATAATAGTATCTAGTGAGTCCACTTTACTTAATTAATATGAAATGAAGAAAGAAACAACCTCACCAAGGACACAAACTGAGTGCTATTACTCCGGCTCCTCATTACGTCCTGCATACTTCAGGCAATAAAACTCTGCACATATGTACAAGTAATTACCAATGTCAACACAATGGAAAACTGTTCCACACATGTTTTTACAATTAAACTTCACAATTAAAAATCAATAAAATAAAAACGTAAAGAAAATAATTTTACATATATCATACAAAAAATTATGGAAGCTCAGGTGCAATACATGTTTCTGTTTCTTGCTGGATAAGGGGGAGAGAATCAAATCACTAACTAAGCTTCAATATCATTACGACATGCTACTAAAGATTAAATTTTGGCCTCCAGATGACATACTAGTGTTACGGCTGCTACTCCATACCTCACATCAACTTTCTCATTGAGGCAAATACAAGTAGTGCACAGTGCGCAAAGCTCTTCTACACAGATTGCAGGATGCTTCTAAGGTTCATCTATATGAAGGCCCAACATTCCATTGTCTTCACAACAAAGTCTTCCTGTGGGGCAAGTGGTTCATTGCCATATGTACTGCAACGCTGAGTTCGCCCTTGGTACAGGTCTCCATCCAGCCACAGTCCAAACTTTCCACTACAAAACAAGAAATATTCGTCTCACTAGATCATACAAATAACCAAACAAAACACATATTTCAACACTAATTCTAACGAGCAAATGTATGAGACTATTCAAGACTGCAGTCTTCTGGGATGTGATGATGTGCACTTGGTGGTACATAGAATGCATTCTTGATACTTGCTGCCATGGGAACCTCAAATATTCTTCCACTAACTTATTTAAATAAAGCAGTGAATTATTATTTTCAATTTTACTGCAGCAAAAATAGCACTTGCACCTGCACACTGAAGTCACTAGAAATTTTCTGAAGGTGACCTAGTACACATGCATAAATTCTATACAAAGTTTTATAAGAAAATATAAGTACTTTCTCTGAATTCATGTTTCTGAAGAACTGAAGTAAAGAAGGTTATATTTAATTCAATTAGTTTCTCTAAAGAGTTGTTCATATTTCATTTTATTACAGTTGTGAGACTGATGTCACAGAAGCATATAGAGGACTGAAGCTTGACAGGTTTTTGTCACGGGGTAACATTAGTAATGTGCTCATGACTGAGCTGTTTATATCACTCCCTGGTGTTATAATTTGCCCCAAGGTAGGAGAAAAGTAAAGCCGTTCCTGTGCTTAATTAATTAAGCGCCACGCCATGAAGACATATGGGGGGGGTGGAGGTACAACTCCACCATTCTTGACCTGAGCTCCAGATGGAGTGAATGGCCAGCTACATGCCCTTGTCACTTTACCCCCAGAGAAAAAAAAAACCCTGGTACCCACTGGACAGGAGGCTGGGTGGGCCTAAGAGCCTGTCTGAACACTACTGAGAAGAGAAAAATCTTGCCCCTCTCCTAGGAATTGATCCCCAGCTGTCATTATATTGTTATATTTTAGCATCATGTTGCACTGATTCACGTTCATGATGTGTATTTGTACAACCGTCTTACAGTGCACACAATTTCACCTTTCTCTTCACTACATGTTTCGGCACTAATGTGCCATCTGCAGGTGTGGTTTTATTTACGTCAAATCATTGCACTGTATGCCATCATGTCTCCTTTATAAAATGATTAAAATGTATATATGTCATGTATATTAATAAAGTGTTTATATTAAAACTTTTCAAGATTTATCATCTATACGTCACACTTCAAATTCGAGAGTTACGTCAATCCTCTCCTATGGGAGTACTCTTCCTATATTCTTGTGCATATTGTGTCTTGTGTTGTGTCCTTCTCTTGTGACTGCGTGCGTGCAATACACCCTGAAGTATTCATACTCCATCACTCTTCAGACTGTAACATTCTAGTGCCTCCAAAATGTTCAAAGTCACCTACAAAACTACATGGCATCATAACCCAAAAGACAACAAACTACATTTCCACTGCTGTGAGAACTTCAATCTTATAAAATTATGTATTTTAATCTAGTTTCTTGCAATCTAAAACCTGCATAGCTCAGCCATTATAAATAACAAATTTACACCATATAATATCTAACAGTTTAACATTACAAAGAGAAGGATATTATATTTAAGCATCCTGCTGCATCGAGATTCCATTTATAGTCCATCAATGTTCAGTCTATAACGCAACAATCAATAACAATGATTCACACTTTAATCCAAACAGTGGTTGTTATGTGCATAAGATGTTGCGAAAAGGCATACTTGATACATACAATCAAGAGCACACCAGGGAAATACAGAAAGAGCTGCACAACATAAAAGATATGAAGAAGAAAACAACAAAACAAATGAAAGTAATAAAAGGACTGATAACTGATTAGTGCGCAGTGCATTAAAATTCCTCTTATTAGTGTTGCCTGAAGATGGCCTTATATGGCCGAAACATGCAGCATTATAACAATGCATACATTTTTTTTTAAATATTTTACTAGTTTTAATAACATCTCATGCACATAACGGCCACTGTGTGATATTAAAGTGTGAATCAATGTTACTGATTGTTGCATTATAGACGAAACATTTGATAGACTGTGAGACTGATAAGGTTTTTTAACTTCTGCCTGGTTTGATTATTGGTCAGGCCACTAAATATCCTGTAAATCTGTATCCCTTTCCAGTTAGCATATGTAATCATCCTCTTCTCAGTCAACCCCAAATAAACTGCAGATGATACAGTACTAATAATTAACCTTAACCCATTCACATCTTTGTTTCTAGCCCCACTTCCAACAGCTACAACTTCATCTGTGCAAAAATAAGTAAATAAATGAAGTAAAACAAGGAAATAAATAAGATGGAGACAGGAGAAAAATAAATGATACTTCAATATGGGAATCATTGGATTTATCAATTTACCTAAACCTTCCAGCTGCACTATGGCCTTGGTGTCGACTCAACCTCTACCAGAAATGAGTATCAGGAATCTTCCTGAGTAAAGGGCGGCCAGTGTGTAAGGCTGACTGCCGTGAGCTGACTGTGTAGAAAATGTGGGAGCCTCTATGGCCTCTTACAGGGATAGCTTTACCTTTCTTTAGCATAGGAGAATACAAAACTGTTGTTCTAATATGTGAATTACTAAAAGAAATGTAAGAAAATGTAAAATAAAAGATAAGAACTCAGACATAATTATAATGTGGTGGTAAATTTGTAATGTTGGTGATGGAACCTGTGCACAATCATTCTGACAGAAGATAGGAAAGATTTAAAGTTACATAACTGCTTAATACAAACATGTTGAAGCATGTCTTCTCCTAATAGGAGAAGCTGGATACTCAATCAATAAAAAGTGCCAAGAAAAATATATGTGACCAATATCTAAAAACACCACACCCAGTGAGGAATACACGTGTTCCATATTTGAAGTCAGAATAACAATTTTATCTTAACTCGCAACTTCAGGTAAGCCTACAGCATCTTTTGCATAGATAGAATATTTTGAGACTAGCAGCGAAAATGTTAAAATTACTAGCTAATAATTTGTACTCACTCGCCAGCACCAATAGCAAGGCTCTCATTGTTGCCCTTGATGAAGTACATGTTATCTCCAGTCCAGTTAAACACCTGGAACTCAGGTGTGAACCGGAATAGTAGCGATTCCCCTGTCCCGTAGAAATGGTCACTCACTTTCAATGCGCATGATGTCAGTGCACCAAACACCTAGAATCAACATCATGCCTCAGTTTGTTTATAAGAAACAAAATCTTCTATAAGATAAGTTAGTGTAATAGAGTCAAACAACAAATTTGTGCATATTGAGCTATAACATATTAAACAAGCTGAGAAACGATGTTGTCTTCTTGGCTGTCAACACAAGAAATTGATCAAAACTTAAACCAATCTAATACCACTGTGTTACATTGGTTTTGTGTAGTGACTGCTACACGTTTCAATCCATGCTTTGGATCATCTCAGGCAATATTCTTAAATATGTCACTTGTTAATGAATTATCCTAATATGAGTCCATATTAGTGTTAATTGTTATATAAAACCAATGTAACATAGTGATATTAGATTGGTTTAATTTTTGATAAATTTGTTGTGCTGACAGCCAAAAAAAACCACATGATGACATACAACAGGATGCAAACAATAAAGAAGTCGAGGAATTTTTGCTTTCTCTTCAAACAAAGGATCTGAAGGAACATACAAAATATTCACATCAATATTATGTTGCACTCACATTATGTTCTGTGTCTTCTATGACCATGAGGATAGGACTTTCCAGTCTACTCATCTTGCGGTACATTGAATTTAAACTGAAGCCGTGCTGTGATGTACTGAACACAAGTGTCCATACATAACCTGCAAAAGTTACAAAATAGAAACCATTTACACAGAACATCAAAAAGTTCTGAAGCTAGAGGCTTCAGGACTATATTCGCAGTCAAGGTTATTCATCTTTGACAAAAGATTCACAAACAGTGTTCCATAGAGCCTGGTTTCCACCCATATAACCAGTAAGAGCAATTTCACTATGACCATATCAAAAAATGAATAGTAAGGTAAAGTTGTCCCTGTAGTTAACTCATTATGCACTATGCCATGAAGGTGTCTGGGGGGTGGATGTAGAGACCCTAGTTTCCTTGACCTCAGCGTTAGTTGGAGCTAAGCGGTCAGTTTCACGCCCCGGCCGCTCTACCCCCGGGGAAAGAGTCCCCGGTACCCATTGGATAGGAAGTTGGGTGGGCCCCAGAGTCGGTCTGGATGACATGAAGAAGTGAAAATTCTTTATCTTACTGGGACTCAAACTCCAACACCTTGGTCACCCAGTCAGTAGCCAGTCACTATACTGACTGACCTATTCCGGCTCTTCCATAGAACAGATACAGAAATTAAAACTAAATAGTTAACACAGTTCAAATAAGTTGTGAAAATTAAGAGTAATTGGTTAGAACCAGTTAAAATAAATTAGGATGTCTTGTTGAGTAGACAGAAGAATGTAATGACAGCTTTCATTTCTACTGATGATTACACAGAATATTTCACCACCTGTCATTCTGTTGGCCATATGTCCACCTACGTGGTGATGTTCTGTGTAATCCAGTGAAGTATGTGGTAGTGTATGGGGTGTGCCATGGTGTATACCAGGTAAAAAGGTAAAGCTATCCCTGTAACACGCTGTGAGATGTCAAGCCTCCCATATTTTCTCTGGAAAATCGACTCACAGATTGTCAGCCTTAAATGCCTACCACCCTTTACCCCCCTTGGGAAGATTCCTGGTACTGAGTTCTGTCAGAGGCTGAGTCGATCCCAGGGCAACAGTGCGGCTCCATGGTAGATACCAAAAATTTATTAATTTAATTTAATCAATTAAAATAATAATTAATATAAAAATAGTAATGAATTATAAATTATACAATCTAATGATCCATTTTCGTATATACTCTCATTAGCAGAGTCAAAGTAGATTAATTTGTCATATATAATCCAAAAGTTCTGGAACATTGTGATATATAGAATTGTTAATATATAAAAAAAAATTTCATATACAATTTGTAGATATGTTTATCATCAACCCCCCTCCATACAAACTTTTAGATGTTTACCTCCAAAAGTTAGTAACTGCAATCAAATGCAAACTTACTATATGTAAATTAAATGTGGCCTTCATGTTTTAAATTCTATATTAAATGACTACATCACTAATTTTCAGCTTGAAATCTTTACATAAACTGGCTCATTAGCTGATAATGCTAAAGAAGTGGACTTGTGGCTCATATATGGAGTCACACAATAAATCATATAGGTCTCCACTTTTCTAAGACAGAACTGCTGCCAAAATAAGAAAGCACAAACAGCCACTAGTAGAAAGTGCTCACAGATGCTGCAATCAAATAAAATGAAGAGTAGTGAAAGATATTATGTGAAAGGTACAGTCTGAGAATGAAGAAGAAAAGCTAAATATGTGAAGATAACTCGCCAAACAGAAAGGGCAGGGGGAAGGTGGAAATAGCCTAAAATGTATTATGTTATTACTCGTGGGGCTGGAACAGGGTCCACTCAGCCTCGTGAGGATAATTAAAGAGCTATTTCAAGGAAATAGCAGCTCTGGTCTAGAAATTCGAGATTAATGGCTGTGGGAAACCATGTGACACCCTCTACCTGCAAAAGATGGCACTAACTTGGCCGAGAAGCAGCAGTCACTCGGTCGGTATAGTTAGCTTGCAGACTAAAACCATAGAGTTTTGCCATTCAACAATGCATTCATGCTTTCTAAATCATTAGAACTCTGAAGGATGTAACTGAAGAAGCAATAACATCCCTTTTTAACTTAAAAATTATAAAAATGGATCTTGACAATGTCAAGGCTTTTTAATATAAGGAGGATGAGAAAAAGGAAGCAAGAGCCAAGTGTCAAAATATATTTGTTACCTTCTGCTCGAGCTGGGAGATGACGACACAGCTTCTTACGATGCTCTTCTGAGAAGATTTCTGTAACACCAACCAAGTCGGGGATGAATGGTTCAATGTCGAGACTAGCTGCATTACTGGCATACAATGCCCGGCGCAGCTCCTCGCTCATAGACAGTACCTGTAAGTCAAATCATGAATTTGTATATTAGCGTTCTTTGCATGTCCAAGAAATGTGACAAATAGTACAATTTATAACTCAGCAACTAATTTAACATACAGCAACATGAAAAGACAGACGGAGTTTCTAAAGATATATTTTTACTTTGTAAAAGACTTTTAATGTCTTCCATTAAAAGTATGCTCTACACTTAGCAAAGTTTTTTAGCACTGTGGTAATTGCTGCCAACATATAATGGTACTAGCCTAGTTCTGTCTAGTACATAAAGTCCTTCCCATGATATCAAATGAAGAATATCTGTGCAGTTAAATGTAGCCAGATGGTTCTGATACATTTTCTACCCTCCTGCACACATGAAAATGGTTGCTCAGAAATTTACTTCTTTTGTTTGTAATAACAAGTTCACTAAAAAGAATGATGAAATGTCAGTGAACACTATATGTTCACTCAAAGTGGTTCACATTTGCAGATGAGGCTGTGCAAGATATGGTTGTTTATAGTATATTATATATGCAGATAATCAAATACCATCAACAAAAAATCAAAGATGAGTTACAAATTGAAACATATCGAAGAAACAAAGCTTACAGAAATATGAAATCAGAATTTACACATCAAAACCGAAGCAATGGAAAGATATAGAATAAATATTCACACAGTAATAACAGAAACAGATGGAAAAGTAAACAGAACAAGTATCTGATTTGCTTTACGTACTTAGGAAACGGTTTTATAACTAAAGAAAGACAATGACACAAAAGTAAAAATAAAATAAAATAAATGGTATAAATTAATTTAAAAAATCTGAGTCACAAATGTCAACTGATAGACGATATTGCATACATCACATCAAGAGCAACACTTAGTTATGGTAGTGGAGCAAAAGGAATCCAGACACTCCCTAGGTATAAGAAATGCAGTTTTTGAGTTCACCAGCAGGCTTCACTACATTAAACCACGAAATAAATTCTGACATCAGAGAGATCGAAAGTTGCAAATACAGTTGAAGAGATACCAACAATACTTGAAAAGTCAGGATGTCCAAAATTAAAATGAAGACTGATATTTTTTTTTTTAATTTTACAGGAACATGAATGTTATAACACTATAAAGTTCATGCTCATGATATTATCACGCATGTGGGGTTTGCGTGACTCATAACTGTGGGTTCTGGGTTTGATGACTGGATTTATTAATACCTTTGCTTTCAATTTCTCTTAATTACGATCAATCACAGCGCTATTGCTAATCTACCCACTTCACAAATCATTGGGGCACGCTACAATCTCGTCCTCGTACTCTGTCGAACTCTTCTGTCCTTGTACTCTCAGATACTACTAGCTCCTACTTTGCACGGACCCAACGGAACATACAGTCTGTATTGTTGATGAATTTTGTTTACTGCTCCGTTGCTTAGCAATGGACTCCATATTGTTGTCACGAATTGAAGTGGGAAGGTGTTTACCGGGCCGTTGCCTAGGAATGGATGTCTGCTATTGTTGTCACGTGCATAAGCGGGAAGGACTTTAGCAAGCCGTTGCCTAGCACTGGGTGTCCACGTTACATTATAATGGAGCTACGAAATACTGTTTCATCAGAAAATATATATTTCCTCTTCCTCTCAAATCCCATGATCATCAACCTATAGTACCAAACCCTGAGAGACAGGTTTCCTTGCAAATCATCGATGTTTGATGCAATTCATGATAATATAGGATCAGCAGGTTACAATATATAGGCTCTGATCATCATTTTACAGACAAAATTTGGTGGACACACTGAAAATTATTCAATATTGGTCATCCAAGATTTTTTTGCACCAAGGTACTGGTCTCAACATTCACGCTGCATATGAATCACTGAAATGTCACAACAATAATGAACCAACACCCTGGAGACTAATCCTCCTACAGATGATGGATATTAGGGTAGTCAAGAACGTCCTTAACTTTATGGAAACCAAAGGTTCTCTCTTTGGCTGAAATTTTGATATTATTCTCTCTAATAGTTTCTTAAGCTTTATTAATATCCACCAAATCGCCTAAGTTTTCCGAAGATGTAAACCCATGTGTAAACAGTAAAAAAAAATGTAAAGGTATCCCTGTAACAGCCCGTGAAGGCCGCGCCATAGCTGAAGCGGTTAGTCGCTGGCTTCCCACCGCGGCGGCCCGGGTTCGATCCCGGGCCTGGTCAAGTGGGATTTGTGATGGACAAAGTGGCGCTGGGGCAGGTATTCTCCGAGTACTTCGGCTTCCCTTGCCAATCTTCATTCCACCAATTGCTCCACAATCACCCTCACCTATCATCTGCGGCTGGTACAATAGGCCAGAAGTGGCCGCGTACAAGGGACTTAGTCCCACCCCACTAGCAATAAAAAAAACAGGCAGTGGAGGCCCATAGGGTTGTGAGATGTTGAGGTTCCCACATTTTCTAGAAAATCGGTCCATAGATGGCGGCAAGGTTGTCAGCCCTACGCGCCGGCCGCCCTTTACCACCAAGAATATTCCTGATACTCATTTCTGTTAGAGGCTGAGTCAACCCAGGTCCATAGTGTGGCTGGAAGGATTACGTCAATTGAAAGAAATCCAACGACCCCATCGGGACTATAACCCGCGACCTTCCGGCTTGCAGCATAGTGCCTCAACCAACTACGCTACCGCGTGTCCCCTTGCTAACCTATTTGAGATTTTAAAATTAAATATGAAACCAACGGCGTCTTCACATTAAGAATAAAACATTCCATTATGCAATGAGATGTATTCACTGTTACCGAACTCTCTAAAAGTGCCATTTCCACCATATAACTGGGTCCCAATTTGTAATACAAGTATGTTCCATGCAGTGAAGTGCTGAGGAGAATACTTGGTTCGAAGGGAAAAAGTGACAGAAGGTTGGAGAAAACTGCATAATGAGGAGCTTCATAACTTGTACTCTTCTCCAAGTATAATTAGAATGATCAAGTAAAGGATGATGAAATTGGCGGGACATGTATCAAGAATGGGGGAAAAGGGAAATGCATGTAAGATACTGGCGGTAAAGCCAGAAGGAAAGAAACCACTAGCAAGGCCAAAACGTAGGCGTGTGGGTAATATTAAGGCGCGTCCACATTACTCGTGCTCGTCGGGAGACTCGTCTGACTTTTACTTGTGCTCGTAAATCTTCGTCTACACTACTTCAGTTGCTCGCCAGGCTTCGGCGCGTGAGGATCCGTATATTTACTCGTAGTGTGCATAGGCTGTAGTTGCATTTTAATTTATTGGCTAGTCTCTTTACTTGTCATATCCCCCACATTACTTGCGAGCATAGTGAGTCACACGAGCACGAGTAATGTGGACGCGCCTTTAGAATGGATCTTAGAGACAGGATGGGAAGGTATAGACCGGGTTTGATCTGCCTCAGGATAGGGACCAGTGAGAACACAGTAATGAATTTTCAGGTTCCATAAAGTGTTGGGAAATTCTTGAGAAGCCGCGCAATTGGAGGCTTCTGTAGAAGGCTTCAGCTCAATTAATTTAGATTGTTAGTTCCATACACTGAAGGTGGTGGTAGTAGCAGACAAAGGCTGATCGATCATAAGTTTCGTCAAGGTACGTATGTGTTCAAAACCTACCATGTAAATATCCAACAAGAATGCAAACACAAATAAACAAGTCAATGGCTGGTACTACACATAATTATTGTAACACAGAAATGAAAGGCCGTCGGAATAATGCATCACTTGTGAATATCAAACACAACCAATATTCCTCTAAATTACGAGCACGGAACTTACGCCGCTCATATGAAACGGATGACTTTATCAACACAGCACATTACAACGAAGAACAAATTCAAAGTCGCCAAAATAAACAGATCCGGCATCTCGAAAGGCTGGATGTGACTACGATGTCGGCGTATGGCTCACAACATTCATTGCATGGTGCAGAAAATTCTGCTTTACACTCCACAGCAACAGCGAGCCAAGTCAGTGCCATAGCTCAGGCGGTTAGTCGCTGACTTCCCACCGCGACGGCCCGGGTTCGGTCATGTGGAATTTGTAGTGGGCAAAGTTGCGCTGGGGCAGGTTTTCTCCGAGTATTTCGGTTTTCTCTGCCATTCTTCATTCCACCAACTGCTCCACAATCACTATCATCTATCATCTGGGGCCGCAGCACCAAGTGGACTCAGTCTCACCCCACTAAGAATCCCAATAAAACAGTGAGCTAACGATCAGCAAGAGATGGAATATCAGTAAGGTGTCCCTATGCTTCAGTACACGACAGGAAGTAAAGTTGCAAGCATTCTTAACAGCGGCACCAGATGGGAGTGGCCCAGCTTCACGCTCCGGTAGCTTTAGCCACGAAGGAAGCGTCCCAATACCCTAATAGGCCAGAAGCTGAGTGAGTTTGAAGATGTGGAGAGAAGCATCCGTAATGCCTCTGATTCTTCAGCTGTTAAACCCGTGGACTTGTCACTATACTTCAGTGAGTTACATCCTTGCCCCTGCAAGAGCTCACTATAATCCTACGAACTGAAACAAACTGAGAAAAGCCATAAAAAGAGACAAAAAGACATCAAGCAAATGTAACATTGAATAATATGCAAACGGCTTCCCTGCTCTGTGATAAAATATTGTTAATTGCAACCAGAATTTTGTATTGAAACAGTCGTTAAATTTACTTTCAATATTTGTGCAATGTTTGTTGATACGCTTAAAGGTTCAGCCGACCACAGGAAGTGTGTGGGTTACAAAACTGCAAATGTCACGGATCCAAAACCACACACTATGTCCTCATCGCTTTCTTCTCACGTCTATCACATTTGGATTACATGATAATCATACTGTAACAGGTTTTATCAACGCGTTACCAAGCAACAGCTCTGTAAACATGGTCCAACACCCAACAACAGATGAGGCCGTGTTTTCTATGTCATCCGTGCCGAGCAGAGGTGGAACAACGGGGTTATGTAACCCGCTTCTAGGCACCGGTTGGGTAAATACATTTCCGCGTATCGGAAAG